CAGGGTTGCTCTTTGTTCTCAGGTTTGAGCAACCCTTGAGTTTTGTTTGTAACTGAGAGGATACGTCTTTTGAAGGACAAGGGATGGGGAAGTATTTGCATTTATTCTATCCAGTCCTGCCCTCTTCAAGAAAAATTAATATTATTGTCAGGATAAAGTCACTTCGTTCACTAAAATAGTTTTTTCACCATTTCAAGAGTAATCGGTAGTACAAAATATAATGAAAATTTTCGGGTTGGTGGTAAATTTCTACTTTGGGTTTTTACACGAGGTTGTGTATCATTGCTATAAAACGGGTTAGCATAGAGGCGTAGAAACATACACCTGCATACCATTTCAACGACAGGTCCTTCCAACTACTGTTGGTTGTAGTTATTACACTGTACTGTATTTCGTCAACGATATAACATTCATGATTTGTGACTTTCATGATTGTCCCCCTTTACGTGTGATCGTTGGTATAGGAAATGCGTTTCATTAACTCAGGAAAGCTTTCCATGAATTCAGCAGTGCTATCCATGTCACAAAGAACAGAGACGACAAAACAAAGGTTTTGAATGCTTGAATGAAGTACGGCAAAGTCTATTTTCCATAGTCATGACAGTCTGCTTCACTGGTGGTTAATGAGCAGTAATAATCAGATTAGAGAGATTTTTATGTGTTAATGGCAATTCTGCATAGGGTGCGAATATCCTGACTTCATTCCAGATGAAAGGTTTGTGTAAATTGAGAATTCCTAGCTGTATTAATCCCAGCCAAATCACGGAAAATGAACAGAAAATTGCGATTATTTAAATACTACACGGACGGAAGATCCAGTGTTGCTTTGTACGTCATATCGAGAAAAAGAAACAGCCCAAATGGAGTGCCATAATCACTTAAGTCTGGCCTAAAATGTTACCAAAGCTCTAAGAAAAGTCAGTAATTCCTACTCTCTCTCAAAAATTGCAGAAATCCGAGGACTTCTGGATTAAAATGATACTGAACCTGTATATATTGCCGTTACCACACGAAATATCAGCCTTCCTCTCCAGCGTTGTCGTTGCCACGGAGTTGTAGGAATTGCATTCATGAAGTTCATGCGCCTATGCATGCGTCAGTCGTTGGTTGCTAGTCACGTGTAATAAGGAGTTACGCTTCAAAAATTGTCTCATAGGTCGTATAGTCTAATAATTTATATAGTGTAATAATTGGTTAGAATATTATAATAATCTTCTTAAAACGTTTGAGGTTTTGAATGAGTGGTTTTGAGCTCAGGAGAAAGGCTGATGTTAACGGACCTTTATTACATAGTCATCAACGGTTCAACCACACAATCTTCAGCACAAAACTCTAGTGGCAGATGTAACAGTATGCGCAGTACACTATAGAGA